CCAGCAGGTGGCGCTTAAGGAACAGCAGTGATGCATTTCCTTGATTACCGCTGTAAACACTAAATGCATTATAGGCTACAGAGGCAAGATGAAAGGAAAATGCCTTCTATACTGTTTCTTAAAACAGTCAGTTCCCCTCAGAGATACATTCATACTTCGCGCATTGAACAGTGAGCTTTCTCTGCCTGCTAATGTTTTTTCTCCTCGTTGCATGTCTAGGCCAGACTGTTTAACGCCGTTTACAGACTCTGAAATAAAACAAAAAACCGTCCAGTTCCGATTTATGGCCGATGGTCGTTCGGTGCATCTCTGCTCAAATTAAAGTATTAAACTGCTTTTATTTTGGTGGTTTGCCAGCAAATAAACAAATAAATGTGCTGCATGTTTCAGAGTGAAGCGCTGCGTGTCATGGGTTGCGCTCGAACACATTACCCGCTTCATTTTTATTTAATTAAATCGCAACCTTCGCGATATGACTATGGCATTGAGCCATAATGCGATATCGATTATATTTCGATATATAGTGCACCCCTAATTAAAATAATGTTATTATTTATAAAAAAAATTAATTAAAAAAAACTTAACTCTGGCACCCCTATGGATGGACGGCGCCCCTAGCATTTGCCTATTTCGCCTATGTGACGGGCCGGCCCTGGATGAAAGTGTTCAAGTGTGTTTGAATGATTCTGTAATTGCGTGTGTTGTTGAGGAGATTGAGCTGCTACTGCATGTGAGCCAGTAATAAACCACAAAACATCATCAGTGTTTCCCATGAGTCCTCTAGACTGTGTGGCCTGTAGTTTCCTGACAAAATTAAAGTCTGAGTGTTTAACTCTTGCAAGTGAAGATACTAAGACATAACTATTGTAATTTTTATACTCTAAAATCAGTAAAACAAGTAATATTTTTTATTGTACAGTGCAGCTGTATTACAACGGTAATATATTTCTGTCTCAGAGATGATAATGCACTTTAGAAATATTTGTAAAAGCTATATAATACAATACTGCAGAGGTTTGACTTTCAAGTTCAGGTTGATGCAAAGAATTAAATTTGGTCACTGAAAAGGGGTTGAAGCTGGTAATTTTGCTCTGGAAATGCACTACATTCATGTATTTGTACTCAGTTTTCTTCCACTAGAAGTCCAGAGTCTCTCCGAATCCTGTGGGAAACACTGAACATATAAAAGCACCATTCAGAACTCTTTAGCAAACACATACTGAAACACAGTGTGGATGAGTCCTGAGATCTGTGTGAATGTGTCTCTCCTCAGCCGTGCTCAGTTCGTCTGCAGGAGCTCCGCGTCAGTATCACTTTGTGAATCAGATGAAGAGCTGGACTGAAGCTCAGAGTTACTGCAGAGAGAAATACACAGATCTGGTCACTATCAATGACATACAAGAACAGAAGGACATTGAACAGGCCATAAAGAGTAGCTCTGATCGTGTCTGGATTGGGCTGAAGAGCACAGACTCATGGATATGGTCTCTGAGTGACCCTGCCTTCTACACAGCACATGAGACTCAGTATAGGAACTGGGACAAATCTACAAAACAACCACAACCAGAAGAAGATGGAGACTGTGTTTTTATGGATTGTGGGAATGGACAGAATTGTGCGAAAGGACACAAAGGAAAATGGCATGATGCAGACTGTAGTTACACACAGTATTTCATCTGTTATAATGGTGAGTTCAGCTGTAAGTGATCACAACACACAGAAATGTGCTGCAAAACAATATTGAGTATTTCATTTCCAACAATAAAAATAAAACATCTTTTGAACAATGAGCCACAATTGTGTTCCTGGATATGTCTTTTTGTTCTTGGTCTTTTATTTTATTTATTTAATTCTCTAAATCAATTTCAGACAAATGTCTTTCTGTTTTAAAGCCAGTAAAGGATTCGTCCCTGGACAGGAGAAAAAGAACTGGACTGAAGCTCAGAAATACTGCAGAGAGTATCACACAGATCTGGCCAGCGTGAGGAATCAGAGTGAGAATGAACAGATTCAGAGCATCACAGCAGATAAACAAGTCTGGATCGGTCTGCACAGACTCTGGGTTTGGTCAGATAACAGCACCGCCGCATTCACACACTGGAAACCTGGTGAACCCAGTATCGGAACAAACAGAAACAGCATCTGCACATCGACTGGTATCAGAGATGAAGGACGGTGGACAGACGAGGACTGTGCACATCAGCGTCCCTTTGTGTGTTATGATGGTGAGTAGATCAATCCTCTGAGCTGCTGTACGTCTACATGTCAAACTACAGAAACTCTCTCATCATTACAGGAGAAGTTCAACGAGTGCACTGTAACTTCACGTGTGTTCCTGACTGAGTTATTATAGTTAAAGGGTTAATCCACCCAAAAATGTGAATTTGCTCATCACTTTCTCTCCTTCATGTTCTTCCAAACCTTTAAGACTTTGGTTAATCTTCAAAACACAAATGAAGATATTTTTTGAAGAAACCTGAGAGATTTAAAAATCCAGGTAAGCAAAACTTAAAAGAGCTGCTTTACAGCTTGATAAATAGAATTAGTTTCATAATTGATGATTTTTGCGTTACTGATTCTGTTTGTTACTGCGAAGCTGCTTTGAAACAATCTGTAAGGTATAGAGCGCTATAGAAATAAATGTGATTTAACTTGAATCTAAAACACGCGTCACATGATGCACGAGAACCAATGAGGTTTGTTTTTAGTGTAACACACATTCAAGCTTCCTTGATTGCCAAATGTAATGTGGATGCAAATAACAGTCTAAGTTAAATCTAGACTAAATGTTTGATTCATCTGGATTCGGTTTTTGACGCCTTTATGACTTTCTGGATCTTCCTGGACTTTCAATAGAGGAACAGAAACATCTCAGGTTTCATTAAAAATATCTTCATGTGTTTCATCTTTGTTTTGAAGATTAACCAACGCCTTAGAGGTTTGGAACAACACGAGTAAAAAACGATGACAGATTTTTCATTTTTGGGTGAACTATCCCTTTAAAAAAAATTATGGTTCATGTAAGATTTCTCATTTTCATTTAGTTTAACTTGATGTACTAAAATAACTCAAACTAAAAACAACAATGTTAATAATAATAAAGTATATATAAATATATAAATGAAAAAAAAACTTCTCAGTGATACTACAATAGCACTGGCTCTTGTATTTCAAAGTGAAATGTTTTGTATCCTGATGTTCTTGCTCATCTGTTCGTGTTTCCAGATAAGCTGGTTCTGATCCGAGAGAATAAGACGTGGACTGAAGCTCTGAGACGCTGCAGAAACATGGACATGGACCTGGTGTCGGTGGATTCGGAGCAGATGCAGCGGCGGGTGATGAATGTGACCGCGAGCACCTCCTCCGCTCACGTGTGGCTGGGTCTACGTCACTCCTGCACACTGGGACTCTGGTTCTGGGTCAACGGTCAGACCATGTGCTACGATCAGTGGGCTTCTGATTACGACATCGATCTGGACAAATGCGATGAGACGGTGAGATCCGGAGCCATTCGGACCCGTGATAATCACTGGATCAGCCTTCCTGAAACTGAAGAAAACCACTTCATCTGCATCAAGTGAGTGCTGGAGAGTCACTGAGTACATGTGATCCAGATTACACAATCAGATTACTAATATTCAGTACTTGTGATTAGATTATATCATATTTTAAAATGCCAATTATCAGATTACAGTTACTTTACTGCCATTGTGTGAATTGTTCAATCATAAAAAGCACTCAGAATACATTACTAATAATCTGTAATCTAATAGGATATGTTACTGAATAAAGTTTTCGTCTTGTAATTTGTAATCAGTAAAGCACTAAAATTATTTAAGTGTTACCCACTGTGTGTGAGTCAATCAAGCCGTTTGGATTCAAATGATTCAATTCAATTCAATTCCAGTTTATTTGTAAAGTGCACCATACATATTATTTCAATGCAGCTTCAGAGAAAATGTATATTTTGTTGTTGGAATCAGGAAGTTTTTTGTAGTTGTACTCATGTCTATTTGAACTTCTATCATGTTTTCACTTGTTTAAGGACAGTTATATGATTCAGATGAATGACTCATGAGGTGATGGAGACAAACATTTACTGTGTTTTCTTTCAGTTTGCTTTACTATTGTTTTTTTTGTTTTTTTTTGTTTAGCGCATATTACTTAATACTTAGTATTTACATTTACTTTTGTTGAATCAATATGTTATACAAACTCCATAAAAATGACTGCAAATACATTTATATATATATAATCATTATACATGCAATAAAAAAAAAAAAGAAAACAATTCTGTATTTTAACGTCTGCTTTTGCTTGTTTCATACGGAATTCCTAAAAGGAAACTGTGATGCAAAATACTTAAGATAGGATTACATATGTGATCATATTTCACTGCTTTTGCATTTCCTGTTCACTTGGAAAGAACACAAAAGCATTGAAATATTATTTTTCCTTCCATCTCATATTTTTTCCATCACCATTTGCATTTACGGACTTTCCTAATCCAGCTTTCTAATAAACGTGACATTGTGGACTATGGATATTTTTGTCTCTCTGACAATAAGTGTGATGTTCCTCATTTGTAAGTTGCTTTATATAAAATCATCTACAAAGAATACATGTAAACATAAATGAATAAATGTAACATAATGTAACATTAAAATAGTGCTTATTGATACTTCTGTCACTATGGAAAGCACACAACGTAGGAGTAGGAATCAACAAGAGTGTCAGGGTTCTGTCACTTCGGTCTAGTTTATTCATGGTTTTGTGACAGAGCCCTGACACTCCCGTCATGTCGTTGTTTTCATGTGAGCGTGCGGCTTTGAGAGTGCTTGAGCCGTGCGCACTCGTCTGCATGTCTTGTTTCCTTGTTTCATGTTGGAGCGTGGTGTTCAGATCCCGGCACTCATGTCTTGTTGAGTTTCGGTTTCGTGTCGGGGTTTGGACACTCGCGCTCCTTGCCCTGCCGGCTCCATCCTTGATACGGGCTCCACCCTTCCTGCCTGCCAAGCTCCCAGCTCTGCCCTGGCCCCCTGTCAGGACTCAAGAAGCGCTAGAGTCTGCCTGGTCGGGGTTTGGACACTCGCGCTCCTTGCCCTGCCGGCTCCATCCTTGATACGGGCTCCACCCTTCCTGCCTGCCAAGCTCCCAGCTCTGCCCTGGCCCCCTGTCAGGACTCAAGCCCCTGCCGGAACTCCTGGACTGCCTGAGCCTCCCTGGCTCAACCCTCCCTGGTCCCTCTAATGACTGTCTGGGCTTTGTCTCTGTGTTTTGATTTTCCTGTTTTGTGTTGTCTGTTGTTGTGTGTCAGTCTTGTGTTGTCATGTCCCTGTCTTGTTTTTGGTGTTCCTCGTTAGGGACACCAGGTGGAGTTTATTCATGGTTTTGTGACAGAGCCCTGACACTCCCGTCATGTTGTTGTTTTCATGTGAGCGCGCGGCTTCGAGACATTTTTTGTGCTCTTGTCTGCGTGTCTTGTTTCCTTGTTTCATGTTGGAGCGTGGTGTTGGGATCCTGGCACTCATGTCTTGTTGAGTTTCGGTTTCGTGTCGGGGTTTGGACACTCGCGCTCCATGTTCTGTCCTGTTGTGGGAGCACGCTGTCTCGAGTTCGCTCGGGCCGTGTGCTCTTCTGTCTGCTCGTGTTTTCGGCTGCGTGCTTTCATGTCATGTTATGTCTTGTGCTGTGTAGCATGCAGCTTGTGTTTTTCATTGGCTGCGTGCTTTCATGTTGTCATGTCTTGTGTGAACACGTGGCTTATGAGTGCTCTTATTAGCTGCGTGTTCATGTCTTCTTTTGTTCAAGCACATGGCTTGTGATTTTTTTTGCTGGCCATGTGCTTGTGTTTTTGTTTTGTCTTAGCACATGGCTTTTGTCTTTGTTCCCTGTGTGCCATGTGCTCTCATGTCAATTGTCTTGACCCCACCCATCTTGTTACCTGATTATTGGTTAATTTGCCCCACCTGTGTTTCCCTCATTACCCTCCTCATTTGCTCCCTATTTATTTTCCTTGTGTTTGCAGTCCTGTGCCAGTTCGTTGTCATATGTTCCCCGGATGTGTCCTGTTCTGCCTTGCCAGTTTGTTACCAGCCTGTTTTCCCCCTCGGGGTAGTTTTTGTTGTGGTTTATTTTATTATTAATAAAGCCCATTCTCCTGCACCATTGAGTCCTTGCCTCCATCTCTTTACCCAAACCCTGACAAAGAGAGTTCTTTAGTAAATCCTCAGGCAGGAGAAACGCAGGACATAGACACAAATCAACATCAATATTCAACATTAATACCGGAACTGAGGAGCAGGGGCAAAACACAGGGCTTAAATACTAGGAGAAGGCAAACGAGATAATTAAATCAACACAGGTGAACAGAATTCACTAATCAAGGGAGCATGGAAAACTAGGTCAAAGAGGAAACACAGGAACAGGAAAAACAAACTAAAAGTCTATGTTACAGTTCGCCCCCCTTCCGGAAGGTGCGTCTTCGCACCTAAATTTCAACTGAGGAGGGAGGGTAGGGGCTCTGGAGGAGGACATGGTGCAGGAGAATGATAGGGACTGGGAGAAGGAGATGGGAGGAACTATGATGGAGAAGATGGAGGGAGGAGCCAGGAGCAGGAGGAGCCAGGTGTTGGTCCAGAGACCAACCAGGACGAGGCCCCAGGGCGGAGTCGAGGGAGGGAGGAGCCATGGTGGTGAAGGCTTAGACGACACCCTTGGGATGAGAGACGGAGACTGAGCCTTTGGAGGTGGAGACCCAGGTGGAGCCAAGGAGACGGAGAGCCTGGACGACACAGGGCCAAGACGGAGCTGACAGTTCAGGCGACCAAGGCGGAGATAGGGGCCCGGAAGACCGCGGCGGAGCCGGAGTGACTGAGGATGAAGGCGGAACCAGAGGGGAGGAGGAGCCTGACAGAGCCAGAGGGACGGAGTGACGAGGCAAAGCCAGAGGAGTAGAGTCACGAGGCAACGGATGGTCAACGGCTGACCAAGGCACCCACTCCACATATGCAGCAAAATCATCCTTGGGACCGTTCGCTGCCAGATCTAAAAGGTCTCTGGTGTGGTCCTCCAGCAAACGGTCCTGCTGCTCCAGGCAAAGGAGCTGGACGGCTGGTAAATCCATCCTGAAGAGGAGAGGAGAAAAAAACAAAAAGAAAGAAAAATGCCGCAAAGTTCTAAATTTAGAGTTCCGGTATTCTGTAACGCGGCTATGGAAAGCATACAATGCAGGTGTAGGAACCAACAAGAGAGTTCTTTAATAAATCCTCAGGCAGGAGAAACGCAGGAGATAGACACAAATCAACATCAATATTCAACATTAATACCGGAACTGAGGAGCAGGGGCAAAACACAAGGCTTAAATACTAGGAGAAGGCAAACGAGATAATTCAATCAACACAGGTGAATAGAACTAACTAATCAAGGGAGCATGGAAAACTAGGTCAAAGAGGAAACACAGGAACAGGAAAAACAAACTAAAAGTCTATGTTACAACTTCAATATTGCGGCAAATTACAGTATCTACAATAATGCAAAAAACAAACAAACTTAGAAGCACTTACAGAATAATGAAAAATCACATGTATGACATAACATGACATTTGTGCATTCAATTATCCAAACAACCGCCTGTATGTAAATATATTTTTGTGATTTTCATCTTTGTTGGATTTCTGTCAGTTTGTGATTCATACCATTTTTTTTTCTGAGAAAATAAAGCTTAGGATGAAATGTAATTTGACACTGATGTCACCTTGTGTGAATCTGATCTATTAGCATTAATTCTGAATGTACCTGAGGGAGATGAACGAATCAGACTGGATTTGGTGTGGTTTTGGAGAGCTGGATGCAGTCTGGTCTGGTCTGGAGGGGTCTTAAACTGTTATGAGTTCACAATACTTACATTACTTACATTAAATAAGTTTACATTAAACATACAATAAATTAAATAAATAAGCTTGCAATACTTATTATCCAACTTTCAGCATCATTTTGGATTATTTCCAAATTTGAAAAGTTCTCAGATGTAAATTTGAGAAAGATCACGATTTTTTTTTTTTTTTACAAATTTTACATGATCTCTCTGTGCAGAAATTATATATTGCATAAAGGAAACAGTTTATTTTTGGCATTATTTTCATTAAATTTCATTCTTAATATTGTATTGTGAAAACAATTTTCATTATTGTCATGCAATAAATTGTAGAGTGCAATTGTAAATATAAATTATGGTAATAAAAAAAGAAAAAAATTGGTGTAGGACTTACTTTAAAACGTTTACTAAGAAACTGCTGATAAATTTCACAAATGATTACATAGAAATGGCAAATAACATTGAATTTTATAATAGAAAGCCTAAAATAGTATTTTCTTATTAAAAACGCATTTTAATCATCTTCATTTACTACCTAAAGAATAATTTTTACAGTGTAGCATTTGTTGTACTTTACAGAGAAAACTATTACAATTTTCATAAATATCTATTTTTCCACTCACAGTAAAGGGAATTTAAGTTTAATAATCTTAATGGTACTAAAAATTCTATTTTATTAGAAAAATATCTATTTATAAAATAGATCTATATTTTTTCCTTATCTACAAAATCTATCAACATTTTAGCATCTATAACAAAATGTTTTT